ATATCAGTCTCCTACATGCTTCCTGGCAAACTGTAAACATAACTTACAGCTTTCTCCCAACAATGGTTCTTCTTGCTGCCTCACATAAAGTCCAGATTTTTTTTTCTCTTGATATTCACGATGCCGCTTGTTGGACTGGATGTTGTTTTTTGTGTTCAAGCGATCATTTCTTGCTCTGTGTCCCACTTTCCCAAACAGAATTGGGAATAAAAAGAGAATTTGTTTACTCAGCTCTGTTTACATGGAACATGTTGCAAAAAGACAGAAAATTAGCTGAACTTATTTCATTGAACATTTTTAAGACTTTAGAGAGGAATTCTTCAAATTGTGACAGTTTTTAAACATTATTTGTATGGCATTTTAATTGTGTATCTACTTGGAATTGTTGAAAAAGAGATTTTTAATCTCAGTGGGACTTTCCTGGTTAAATAAAGGTAAAAGAAAAAATAAAATAGAGGTATCAGAATAAAGCAGGCAGCTTCTTTTTTAAATAGAAAAACAGCAAAGTTGATAGGAAACTTCTTTATCTGCAAGATTCCCTTCACTTTCTGCAACCTAACCCAACAAAAGACCTACACTTGTTGCATTTTGCTCACATTCAGTATTTTTTAAAACCATGTTGTCATGCTGAGAATGCTTCAGAATCACATATTTAATTTGTCACATGCCCATCACTTAAAATACCCATAATATACAACAAAGTTTGTATTATTAACATGACAAAGCTGTTGAAAAAGTTCAAGCGGTATAAATAGTTTTGCAAAGCGGCTGTGCGACCAGTGGAAAGCTGAGAGTCACAAGCATCTACATGAGGTCACCGCTCAGGTCAACCTACACACACTAATTAACCTGCAGCATGTTTATGCACTGCGGGTGAAATGCAATTAGAGCAAACACACAAAGTCCTGCCTGGACACAGTCCTGCTGAGATGATGCTTTTTAAAATATGATGTGTAACATGGCGAAAACATATTCCCCAGTTTTAGAATTTGATGTTATTGCGCCTAAAATGATCATCTGTACTTTGCTGAAGCAAAAATATTTTACTTGGCATGGAATCATGATCCCTTGCTGCAGAACAGAGTTATTTTCTGTCAGTGAGCAGCCAGTTCAACCAATAAGTCGTTTCGCTTGTGAGCTGCATTTTGATGAGGACATAAAAAAGTTTGAAACTTTGATGTGGCTGCTTTTTATTCTAGATTTTGCATAAATTAGTCACAAAATCTTCAGCAGTAGATAGCTTGGTTGCGGCTGTGTTTACGCAAGCGAATAAAGATGCTCCTTCCATAGCTGGTAACTCATACGGCTTTTAAATAGCTGCAGAGGAAATAAAACTGTTTCTAAAACTGTAGAAAGATCAGCTTCTACAGACTGCAAAGCTTTTTAAAAAGATATTTTCCCCTTGACAACTCTAGTCCTTATGTTGAGATCAGAGCAATCCATGTTCTGGTTGTTTTGTTTTGGGTTTTTTTTCCCTTCTCTCTGCCTTATGCCATCCTGTCCCACCTGCATCAGCTGGCAGGAAGCCACATACCCAGTTATAGGTCACATGCATTGCTGCTTAGGCTGCTCATGAAATATGCATTGATAGGCATAATCCTGACACGCTGAAAAACTAAAAATACCTGATTTGTCATGAGTGGAGTTCGAAGGAGAAGAGGTATATAAATACTGAGGGAGTGAATGCTGGCCTAATTAAGGAAAGGAACACAAAACAATAATCAAATCCCAGGACATGACACTTTTGGCCTAACAGCACACACATTCAGTTGTGTTTCCATAAAACACGGAATGCTAAAACTACAAAAAAAAAAATAAATAAATAAAAACATTTTATGCACAAACTGGGAAATCTCAGTTGTGCATATTCAGTATCTAGAAGTCAACAGTGACTGAGTTAGGTGGGACATTGACACTGTGTAATAATTTGTTATAATGTTTTATTTTCCTGCACTTTAAAGCTACTGCGTTTTATATGTGTTATTGATTTTAATAACGTTGACGTCTGTTTGGGCTCTGAATTAGTTTGAATATTCTGACAACAGCAATATCAGCGTCTTCTGATCAATTCTGAGGTGATTCACAAAGAGGATATTCTGACAGCAAAGGTCAACACTTTCCATAGCGATCGGCACAGATAAGAGGCAGATAAAAGATGTGTATGTGTGTGTATCTTGGGGATTGGTGGATGAAGGGCTGACAACCAAGACAAAGGCAATTGGAAGAATTTCATCTTCGAAAAAAATCCCAGGGCAGACATACATACTCCAAAAAAATTTCAACATTTTTGTAATTTCTCACATTTTAGTGCATGCTTTGCTTTTCTAACTTTACAGTCTGATCCCAAACAATAACACAGAGTTTAATTTAGTATTTTAGCTCATGTAGTTCTTGTATGCTAATGTAAAAACGTGTTGTTAATGTGTATTCCTAACCAAAAAAACACCCTGATACCAGATTAAACCTGGGGATACAAACATTATTGGCTTTACAAAACATGAAATAGAAACATGGCTCTGATTTGATCCATAATCCACTTAGATACAAAACTATAGAAACAGAGTTAGTGTAAATGCAGTTCCTGAGATTAATGAGGAGGACGTAATGTAAGAGGGTGATTTTTTTAACGAGGGGTCGTGTGAACACACGTATTCACGTGATTTTAATTGCAAAATTGTGTTTTTTCCACATTAGCGGAATATCCATAACATTTTGTGCACATTTGTAATGGAAAAGCAGCTGCTGAGTGCCGTGAAGGAAATCTCTTTCAGCGCTTTGTATTTGCAGCATCCATATTTTTCGCTGCCAGCTACAGAGGCTGAAAGCCCTTGTGGATCTGTGTGTCACAATAATTAGATCCCTAAATTAGTCCAGACGCATAAGAAATGATGTTATCTGAAGGAAGCTCTGAACCGTGTTTTTTTTTCCGTTCAACATTTGCCTTGATATAAGGAGCCCTGAGTTTTGTCCTTGGGACAGCACAAGCAGTTTCTTCTGTCTGACATGTTTCAGGGGGCTTTTTAACGCAACAGACCTGTTGCTGAAATATTTAACAGTCAGCAAGTCAAAGAGGAGCCTGTTGGACTTTTGCCAGCCTTCATCTATTCAGTGTATATTTTATGATCATGAATGAATGCATGACAGCCTTTCTTTACATTGCTTCTCCGTGATTGGAAGAGGACGGGCTATTGCATTAAAATAGGTGTGAGAAAATAGGCAATATGCAGGACCAAACACTTTCAAAAAGATAAATCAAAGCCTTTTTCAGCAGTTCCGGCAAACCCTGTTAACCTTTACTAATTCATTTTTAATTAGCCACAAAGACTGTACTTCCCTTGCTGATTGCCACTTTCGGAGAATACATTACAGAATGCACAGAAGTACTGCACCATCCTTTAGGAAATGAATAATAGAAGAAGAACTGATTGTACTAAACACACAAGATGTACGTACCAACACTTTGGAGATACTAATAATAAATTCCTCAAATTGAAGAAGAAGACGACGAAGAAGAAGACGAAGACGACGAAGAAGACGAAGAAGAAGACGAAGAAGAAGACGACGAAGACGAAGAAGAAGAACAAGAAGAAGTATACAAGAAGTATACATTTCTTGCAAACTGAAGTCTGGGAGCTGTGACTGGTGCTTGAATTGAAATGATATTATGCTGCCCTCAAAACAGGCTCAGGAGACCAAGTACACAAACAGTCTGACTGGCAATCTGGGCTGTGAGTCAATGGCTGTCAAACTGAATGGCAGAATGCAAAGACCCTAAGCTGACTGGCACGTCGCTGAGTTTGTTGTAATGGATTTATGCTCATAGTTTATTGCATGTACAGCTTCAGAAAGGGTTAAACATATGGTTTTTGGATTAACTTAATCCAGAAAGATACATCAAAGGGATAAATATGGATATGAGAGTTAATTTAGTTTAAAACATACAAAGACCAACAGGGCTGAAACGAGTAATCATGTTAATCGAGATTAATTCATTAGTGAAATGATTGTCAACTAATTTAGTAATTGATTAATCATTAACCAGAGCATACTTACTCAAAAAATGCCATTAGCTAAAAGAACATTACACACAGAGCAGTAGTTCTCTGAAAAAAAGTCTCATATTAAGCACATTTTGCTATCCAATTATGAGCAAGTTAATCAAAATAAAAAAAAAGCTCAACAGATCAATCCTGCACTATATTGATCTTAAAAGAAAGGGCTGAACTTGTCACATGTTGATGCTAGAAGTGTGTTTTTTTTTAGCTGCATATGGATCATTTGGTACAAATGATCAAACGTACACTAACAGAATGCTATGTTATATATATATATATATATATATATATATATATATATATATATTCTAAATTAAAAAATGAATTAAATTATCAGTTTTATTTGCATCTTTTAATGCATCTCTAATATTGGATAAATAAGGCTTAAGTGGTTAAATGCAAAATGTAGAATGTGCCACATTTTTGTATCAGCTTAATTGTCACAATAATCAAAAGATTAATCGGTAACTAAAATAAACTCTATAGACGTATATACATACAACAGACATAAATATTCATAATACATCAATAAATCAGCCCAATAATCAGCTACGACTGGAAATGATGAGCACTGATCGTGACATTCTGCTAGGAAATGTGTGTGTTGGGGTGAGGAGGGTGGTGGGTTAGTTTCGTCTGAAGCAGGATTATAAACAAAGCACGTCCCGACAGCTGCGGCCTCCCCCAGGCCACTTAGTTTGCACACAGAAACTACAAGTCAGTGTTGTCTTCAGCTGTCTGTGAGCGCATCGAAGGCCGAGTATAAGCTAGCCCTGACCCATCAGAGGGTCTTTGACCAGCGCTGCAACAATTAATCTCAAACTTTTATCCTTTGGACTAACAAAGCCTTCTTTTTCTGATCTTTTAAAGCAATAATAAAAAAGAAATTTAAGGTTCTTTGAGTGAGTCATGACATTATTTTTATATTCCCATATCTTAATGGATAAAAGAATCTGAGTGCTAGTAGGAGGTGAAACTTGAACTGTTTTCTTACCTACTCAAAGGACAGAACTGAAGTAACAAGTTTTGTGTCCAAACTGAAAGCTTTTCAAATCAAATGGAAAATGAAAATGAATTTTATATGAGATCACTTTCAATTATTCTGGAAAGTCATTATCAGCAGGACAATACTAATGCAAAACTGACTGAGTAGCTTTTCATCTCATTTTTATCAAAACACAGTGTAGTCTTCAGGAACCCAAAGATTAAACAACATGTAAGTTTTATTATCATGCTTGTTATCATATCTTATCTACCATAATATTGTTAATTATAAACTAACAATATTGGTAGTATTCTTTCACTTTCAGGTTCTCGAACTGGAAGGAGGCCAATAGATACCAGCTGAAGTACAAAGCATCCCTAAAGATTAAACTCTACATATTGCCGTATTAAAATGCCATAATAACAGTCTTAAGAGCCCAGGCCTTAATAGTCTGATAAAAGGTTGAATCTTGTTCCTTAGAAAGAACTACATGTTACATAAAACTTGATAAGTGGACCTTGAAGGAAGCTGTTCCCAAGAAAACAGCAGATCTTAAATCACTACAAACAAGTAACATTTTGTTACTATGGAATCACGATTTACCTCTTTTTAAATGATAGGGCACCAGTTGTCCTTCAAAGAGCTACAACCAAATGGCTTCTAATTGTATCCAATATTCAATCTAGCAAAGACGGATCAATCCAAAGTAAAGCAGCTATTTGGTTGAATAGTAATAATTTATATTGAATATATAAACTATATTCAAACAGTATATATTCAAATGAAGGCAAAATTAATTTGCAGAAGAAGTGGAAATAAAGCAAAGACCTCTATGACCTAACAACTGCTTTAACTCTGTAGTCCAGTCAAGAACTGAGAGAAAATGTTAAAGAAGTAAAACCTTCTATCACCTTTCCCCACAGATCAATATCACCACTGGGTTTTGCTTTGCCACAAAGGGCACAGGGATGACACCCTGATCTAATTCCCAGGCCATAAATCATTCATCACCAGCAGGTACACACAGTCAGAGCAGTCAGAGAAGATGGCAAACCCCTGACCTTTTCACGCTGGGAACTAAAGCATCCTCTTGCTTCTGTCTGTTCCCCTACGTCTCGCTGACTCCCCCTTTCAGCTAAACATAACCATTTCTAAATCTAATACTCTCTTTTCAATCTGTTCCCATATGTGTCCCCCAGAACATGACTTGAAGATGAGCAGTCCTCCGACTACTTCAGCAGAGAAGCCCTGTCCTCCCCTAGAGGAATTAGAGTGTAAAATCTGCTACCAGCGCTACAATGCCAACAACAGGAAGCCTAAGATCCTGGACTGCCTACATCGGGTGTGCTCTCGATGCCTCGTTAAGATTCTGGACGTCACCGACGGAGCGGGCTGCGTCCCCTGCCCCTTCTGCCGACACCAAACTGAAATCACTGAGTACCAGGTCTCCGCCCTGCCTGATGACGTCAACATCATGTCCCACCTGACAACACGAGAAAAGTTCTGCAGTTTGGACAAGAAGAGGGAGGTGGTCTTGACGCCAAAGAATTTGTCCTCCACCAGTCCGTCCCATGACTCCTCAAACTGCCTGGTCATCACCATCATGGAGGTTCAGAGGGACTTGCAGCACTCTCCGAGCCACAACGGCAGCTCGGATATTTACGCCGACCAGAGCCTGGACTCTGTGTCAATCGGTTCCAACGGACCCACAGATCATGATGCGCTTTCGAAGCTCTGCAATCACGTCCCACGTATCCTGGTGTGGCTGCTTGGTTTCTTATACTTTGGTTCGTTGCCCTTAGGAATCTATTTGTTAGTGATCCAGAGAGTGACTCTAGGAATCGTATGTGTTAGCTTAGTGCCATCGAGTCTGACAGTTTGCCTAGTGTATGGGTTTTGTCAGTGCCTGTGTCAGGGCATGTGTGACTGCTTTGCCCGGGGCTGAGAGTATGGAAACCAGTGAACCGAGGGATAAAGATAAAGTAAGCTCCAGAAGTAAGAAAGCTAGGGTGATATCCTCTTCATGGGGCTTAATAGCTCTCCTAGCACGCAGCTGTCCTCATGCATATAAAGGACCACGCAGAAAGAAACAGAAACCTATCTTTAGTGATGTGCTCTGCTTTCTTCACGCCTACTGCTTCAATATCAGTTTGGTCAAGAGGAACAGAATCACTGACAAGCTCAGTCTGCGACTGGAGCCTGCAGTACACCTACAGTCCTGTGATGTACGTCTCTGTGTATGTGCCTGAGTTGTTCCGTGTTGTGACTATGAGCTGGTCTTACAGCCTTTTAGAGCAAGCACTCGATATTTCACGCAAGCAGATTTAGGAGGAAATGACATAACCATACATTGCGAAAGTATTGATACTAACTGAGTTCGTCTCATTTTGTCATGCTTCAACAAACTTCAATATATCTTAGGGTAATTTTACCAATATACCAAGATAAATTAGGGCATGATGGACATTCCTCATTGAAACAAACATTAAACTTTCTGGTTATGCAAAACATCATGAGTGAAGAAAAACTAACCAAACATGAAACATCATGCTGTGGGGATGCCTTTCCTCATTTGGTACCAGCAAATTGTTCAATGGTTGATATGAGAACGAAGTTACAGTAAATGCAGTGTAATCCTAAAAGAAAACCCGCTAAGAGGCCACAAAAGACTTGAGACTGGGTCACAGTTTCACCTTTTAGAAGGATGAGAACACTTAACTTACAGTCAGAATTGCAATTATAGAATCAATTTAAGCATGTCCATTTGTTAAAATGATCGACTCACAGACACACTATGTCTAATCTGACTTAGCTTGAGCTATTTTGCAAAGTAGAATATGTAAAAAAAAATAAGTGTCCTGATGTGGAAAGCACTTGCAGCTTTAATTCCAACAACAACCATTGCCAGAGGGGGTGAATAGAAAAAGTTTTGAAAAGATTTTGATAAGCATGTATTTTTTCCTTCCACTGCACAAACATGGTCAACTTGATGTTGGTCTATATAACACAAAATGCAAATGAAGTACATTGCGGTTTGTTTTCGTACCTTGGAAAAATGTGGAAAAACTTTAAGAAGTATGAGTCATTTTATGAGACATACATTGAAATTAGAGAACATATTTACTTATTATGCAGCAAAGTGAGATAAGGAAGACTGTATAGGAAATCAAATCCTGTGAAAAAAGGGGAGTTACATATGCGGTAACTCCCCTGCAGCACAACCAGAAAAAGTTTAATTTTCCAAACTTATCTTGTATAAATGATATAAATGATTGGTACATTCCAACCCCCAATGGTTCTGCTATATCTGTTCCAACAATGGTACTAGCCAATGTTAGTCATTTTGTTTAACTGAAGCTGAGACGCAATATCATGGTGGTCGTCTCATAAAGGTTAAAGAAAACATCTAAATATCGGTAAATATCGGTGATTGCCATAACAGAAATTTTAATATCAGATATTGATATTGGCCCAAATTTTCATATCAGGTCATTTCTAGTTCTAAGGTTTGCATACAGTTATAAGACTACATAAGCTATAAGTTTATTTAATGTAAATCATATACTTTCCAATCAGATACAAGTCTGGAGTTACAATTTGTATGTTTAGGATTGAATTATTTTCCAAAAGGTGTTTTTTTAATAACTCCATCTATTTTTTTGTTGTTGTTCTTGTGTCAAATTTGTATGCAAGACATTGTGGACTGATGCAGAAAAGTCTGATATTTCCAGCAGCACCTCAGAGAAAGCTAAAAACTGTTTAACTTTCTAATAATAATTCTGATATGTGAGCTGCACTGCTGTTCACAAACAAGGTGGTTTGAATTGTACGGGTTTCATAGACGCACAAAGCGTTTGTGTGTTCAGAGCCAAGACTGTGCCAAATAATATGACAAACTCCATCCTTCAGGCTTTTACACAGCCAGAGTCAATTTAACTTCTTTTGTGTGTGTCGATGACTGAGGGCTTTGGAATGACTTGTTTTATGCATTTAATGATAAAATTCCAGTAATAATTTTGCAATTTGAAACTATTTGTCATCGGAGAGCAAATGCAGCCATTTAGGATGGGTTTTCAGAAAGGCTTTCGGTCGAATAAAAATTCTGGAAATTCCTTTATGTTTCGGTTTGACTGCCACAAATCAGCTTCAAATTTGACCATGTTGATGTTCTCACAGTAACAACCATCTGAACTCCAAAGCCTAAAGTTTTTCTTTCTTAAATGTTCTTCACCTCTTTCAATCACACTTTTCTGCCTGTGTCAATGCCCTCTCCAAAGTTTCCCCTTGTTTGTACACTGTTTGCTTAATACCACACAATTATACACAGTTGCCATAAGAAGATGAAATAAACGGGGAATTATTTTCTATATAAAGCGTGTCTTTGACTCTACCTACTGCTTCGCACATCAGTCAGACTGAATGCAAACGAGAACCAAAATTATCGTCATGAGTGGATCAGCCACACTCCATTAAATCAGGCTTGAAGAGACACCAACACACTCAGGTCATACTTCAAAAATCAATCAAAATTATTTTTAGGGAGCAAAACGTGAAAAAAAAAAAAAAAAAAAAAAACCAGTTGTCTTGTAATTGTAGGTATTTTACTACAAAGCCAGCTATGTTGTTCATGAAGTCTGACTACTAAATGAGAATAAAAAATTAAATCACAATTATTATTATATTATACTAGAGATAAATCTAACAATCACACTGGAAGACTTGGAGGATACAATATTTCAAGAGTCATGAATTTTCACTCTGAATCGTAATAACATATTTAGTCCATTGGATTAATTGTTAAATAATTGTGAATTTTGCAAGTCTGTTAGCTGCTAAAGCTAACAGAGAGTTGTCAGGACATCATGATGAGGGAAAAGCTAATTGTTAGCACCTTTTAAAAACCTCTCCAGGAGGAATAATTTTTTAAATACAGGGTTTCACTCACATTCGTTATTTAAAGCTGCAGTATGTAACTTTTGCATAAAATATGTTTTCTTTCCAAATTTGTTAAAACTGCCATCATGTCGTGACAGCACTAAGACCCTCCTTCTGGTTGTTTCTGACTGAGTGGTGTATTTCTGCAGTCTGTACTGAGAGAACTGGGAGAAGGTAGAGCTAACTAAATTAAAAACATAGAAGTTAAATTAAAATTTCACAAGATAGAAAAGATGGAATAAAGGACTCTTTTGATTTTCTAAAAAAAAAAAAATGTAAATCTGGGTCAGGAACTGCATGGGTCATTCAAACTTGACTCCATAAAATATGCAAGATTTTCAGGTGTTTCTAGGAGATGGACCTGCATGAATATTAATCGCACATGAATAATTTAGTCACAATCTGCTTTCTCTTTATGGCACCAAATAACTCACAATTCATGAGCTGGTGTGAGGCTAATAGGTTGATACCAGGTAAAGAATATCTGAGAACAGTTTTGTCAGTATTTCAGTGTGAGAGAAAAAAATGGAAGCCAAAGGCAAAAACTGAAACATTAAGTTTCACTTTTAGATTAATTCCATACCGAGGACGAGGAGGTTCGGCACTTTACAGAAGGGAGGCTTGCACAACCGACCAAGTACGGTCAGTACGGTCAGTAGCTGGACTATGTTAATACTGTATCTGATTTTTCTGAGAAATGTTCATGGCTGTGATGTCTGATATATCATCATTTGTTTCTGGACAGTGTGACTGAGGAGAGAGTGTGATCTTTGGTGTCTGGTGGACAAGAGTAATTAATTCCAGTGAAAATCCTAGTAGAGTTTAGCAAACTATGAATGGCTACATTTGTAAATCTGATGTATTTGTTGCTGTCAGGACTCCCTTGAATAAGTAGGATTTTATCCTGGTAAAATAAAAAATAAATAAATGAAATGTATTATGGAAAGAGAGAAAAGGCTTTTTGCTGGCATCACTCCCTAACAACCACTGCACTGCTTTGAAGATTTTATTTCCTTCACCATCCATCAGTGTATGTGGTGAAAGGATAAATATGGCTCCTAGCATATTGAGGCTAACAGGAAAAGCCCTCTATATCAAGTGCTTTTATATCCTGAATGATATGTAGCCAGAAGTTCTATCAATCTGTATTACTATTAACAAAATTCTTCTTACCAGATTTAGCAGAAGTGACAAAAGATTAGCTTGTCATATTTTTTTTTTATCGTCTGGACCAAGGGAACGAATACATGGGACAAAATATGTATACAATAGAATAAAGATCTATGTATTTTGCTACAGGATGTGTACTTGAGATTAAACCATTAGTGGAAAAAAGGTGAAAATCCCTTTTAATTTAAATGTTATGCTATTAATGTGATGCTGTAGCTCCTCTAGATATAACTTCACGTATGTGTAGGAACATTCAGCAGACTGAAAAACAAGTGCTGGAAATTTAAAATGCTTTAAATCACCTGCGTTCAGCTGAGATTTATATGCGTCTTCAGTCTCTCTTTCAGCAACCAAAACGCCCTCAGAGCTCGGAACAGCCACAGATAAGAGCTTTGCTTGAACAGAAAGCATTTGTTGCAGGATGTCTGCTCGCTATGATTAGAGGAGCTGATTTGACCTGAGAGAATGTCCCTGAACACTTCTGAATTCATCCAGCTGCTGCCACCATCTGTTCACTCATCAGTTCAGATGAGGGAGCCAAATCGCCGTGATTCTCAGACTGCAGCTTTGCTTCGCTCATGAGTAAAAAGTCTCAGTAGAATCCATTCTTTTTAGACACTAAATTCATAATGCTGACTTTTTATCCTGCGCATTTGTTTTTTAACTTTAAATTCGGCAGCAAAAAAGTCACCTGGGGAATCACCACTAGATCTGCTCGAGTGACTTTTATCCAATTAAGTCACGTTCTTTTGATCACACGACACCAGTGTGTTGGGCTGTGCTATAGCTGCATTACTTAGCAGTTAACTGTAACTGCTGATGTCACTCTTCAGATTCTTCTTCTACAGATTAAAAAATGGCGAATTAACAGCTGGTGAGTGAAAATACGGCGCAACAAGAAACGCCTGCGTAACAAGTTTCATAATTCCCTTCGACATAGTGCCAGTTACTACACTAATAGCGGTTTTAAGTTATTTTGTGGGATATAGGAGCTTGCTTTACATCAACAATTATTTAATATTGATTTTTTTAAAGTACTAGTTCCACTGGCAGATTAGTTGTAATATGACATTTTTAAAATATTGTAAATGAAATAATCTGTCAGTGGAAGTAGCACTTTTTCATCAAGATTAAGGAATTATTGACTTAAAACAAGCTCCTGTTTCTAGCTAAAAAGCTACTTGCAAGTTAGTTTTCTCTTATTTCAAGTGTTCAAGTGAGATACTTACACTAGAAACTAGACCAGAAGTTCTTGGTAGGATGTTGTATTTTTGCAGTGTAGCAGCCGCTTGCAGCTTTATGTTCACAAACATCATCGTCAGTGGTACAGTTTCTCAAAAATAACTTTACTGATGTTGGTTTTGCTTCTTTCAGTGAAAATGCTGCCAGTGTTCACTCTTGCAAGACAAAGAGCTGAAGGAAATCAGTGTGCACCAATGTAGTTTTTCAGAATAGTAGAAATTAACAGTAAATGACATTGATCGAGGTAGAGTGGGCTGATCAATATTAACTACACATGAGGATTCTATTTATTGAGCAGAATCAACAAGAAAATGGCCTTCATTTTGATAACTTAAGACACCTGCTGGACCAAATATGAAGCTCCACAAATATGAACGCTAGGCACCCAGATTCAGCTGTCGGGCACGTATCAGTGCAGCCTACTGGGATCTTTATTTTCTTGTTTGCATTTAGATCTGTCTTAAATCTTACATCTCCAATCCTAAAAACCAACCACAGCCCCCCTGAAGTGTGAGTAAAGTCACACTTCAGACTGTCAACAAAGAAAGGGAGAAAGGAAAGAAACAGAAAAGGAAACAGGCTTACTTTGAGTTCCTCTTGAAGCTTGCCAAAGCGGACCGTGCCATTCAGAATTCTGCTGACAAATCCCTGCTTTTCCTGCTGGAGTCCAGATGCCTAAGAGGGCAGAGAGGGAAGACGGAGGGTTACTGAGCTACGAAAGGAAGGGAAGGACACAGTAATAGGTGAGAGACATGGAGGAAAGGGGGAGAATTGGAAACAAACAAAAAAAAAGGTTTTCAATGGTCAGAGCATATGACTGTCAAATTCTAGTAAAATGTGTTTCCCCATTTCATTGGCTTTAGAGAAGAAATCATGGTCAATAGCATTTGAATTCATGGAAAATAAAATCTTTAATATCAAAGTGAAGACAGAGTTTTACTAAATATTGTTAAATAAATATTGGGAAAGTGAATCATTCCATAAATATTCCTTCTTTTTTTTTAACTTTCATTCTACAATCAATGTGCATACATCAACTCCTGTAAGGTCATCTCCATATATGTCCATAATTTAAATACACCGTCTTTTGTAATAACAAACCAACTACACCATCACGGAATCAATCCAAGGACCACAAATGGCCCCTGAGCCGCGCTTTGGACACCCATGATTTGACATATGTCAATGTAAACTGTTTGTGCAATTTTTATAATTAAATAGAGCGCAGTTCCGTGGATTATCACATTACATGGCATGATAACCTTAGTGGAACGTGGTCATGTTTAATCTTAGCAGATTAAATACAGCTATGGAGAGATTTTCCATTAGCCACTACCTAAAATAGATAATTAAACTGAAGTGAACTGAAATGAAAAGGTAATACGCTAGATTATCTGTCACCAACTCTATTTGCACGTGTGTCTATACATCCCACTGTTGGCATGAACAACGCATCTACTTTCCACATAGTAGGGGCAAAGCTGCCTGTGGGATAAAAAACAGGTTCAGACAATGTGTTTTCTGATTTTTAAGCCTAAATAAATTGGCTGCCATCACCCAGATGCTGCACAGCTGCTAGGTTCTGTATCCATTAGTTCCTTAATACATATGAGGCCCAGCTTCATCTGACATGTGCTAAATCGCCTGCCAGAACACGGCTCATGCCTGTCTGTCACTCTGTGCTGCGTGCTCCTGCCCAGTCTTTCATATTTTCATATTTTGTTCACCTGCACACCCATCTGACAGTGAAGATCACTGTCAGATCACAAAATAAACTGTTCCAGGGTCCGACCTGATGAATGCTGGCGAGTATTTCAAATCAACTGCGAGCTTTCTCGCAAGCTAAACTGGATTAGCTCAAAATAGTGTTGACATTCTACTACAAGGGAAATGATGTGCTGGTCAATAGCTGCACTGACCACATAATTGCACAATTTGACATTTAGAAAAACTAGCTTAATAAAAACATGGCAATTTTGATAAAAAATAATTTTCTGATAAGTTTTAGCACTTGCTTGAGGTTTTAAAGGTTTATTTTGCAAAACCGCAATAGAAACACCTTTTTCGCATCACACGAATCACATGACCAACAACTGGACGTTGCCTATGGCGCTAACCACAAAGAAGACGACAACAGGAAGTAGTTGCAGGATCATGTTGTGGCATGAACTAATTTATTCACGTGTGATTTTAATTGCAAAATGTTGTTGTTTTTTTCGCCACTAGCAGAATATTGACAAAGTTGTGCACAGTTAGTGTGTGCGTGTGACTTGTGAAACAGTCCATATCGGAGCAGCGGTAACATCAGCAGTACCGTGTGCAATAGATGGTCTCTTTCCCTGGAAATGTGCTCTGCGACAGAAACGACAGCCTCCAGATAGTGACGAGTCTTCTCCTCCTTCAGCAAATGCTCTTCCTTCTGTCTCCTCAGCGTACTCATCCTCCCCTCTGCCTTCCTAATTGATTGACAGGAATGATTGTGTGAGTTAACAAGCGAGAGAATTTTAAACAGGAGACGAAAGCCACATTGTAAAATGGAGAGAGGAGATAAAACAATGGGAAAATGTAGCAGGGTTAATAAAAAAGGGATTTGGACAGACAGAGAGAGAGAGGAGGTGAGAACAGAAGAGAGACAAAGAATTAACTGGATATCTTCATACGCTTCCATCTGTACAAGGACGTGAGACAATCCTCGGCTAATCCAACACCCTTTCTGACAGTCTTCACACCTCGGAATGAAAAACTCCACATTAATCTCAGAGCAAGCCTGCTGGGAAACCGAGCACGCTCCCAGAGCAAAGGAGATTTTAGAACAGCTTGAGTCCATGATTAAAATGTTAAAAATCATCATCTGCATTTACCAAGACACATGCAATAAAATCTGCATATGAATTAGACATGCAGAACAGAAGTAAATCGTCTGGGCCAGCCCTTATCGGTGATCAGTCAGAAGGAAACTAAATAATTTACTGAACCACTCAATTCACTAAGTGAAATGTTAAATAGATTACACACAGACAGATGTTTTCAAGCCTCTCTTTTGTGTTAATTATAATGATTTTGCACTTAAACTGTTTTAAAGGGGCAGTACTATGTAAAATCAACTTTGCACTATGTTATTCCCTCATCAAAAACAAACTTTTTTGATGTGTCGCCTCGATTCTTTCATGCAAGTTTGAGAAATCCTTTAATCTCCCATGGCAACCATTCAGCTGGGTGGACATAGCTTCGCCTTCAAGGACGAAGCTCCTCCTCTGAGCTTCCCCCTCACAGAGCCCTCCTTCTCACTTCTTCCACTCAGCTCCTTCAGACTAGCCATCAACAAGCAAACGCCTGGTGGGACTGTGCAGTTGCTGAGCTCATCATATGAGCTGCTTCTCAATGAAATACTGGTAAAAACGTTGTTAGAGGGCTAATACAGGAGCGACGTTATTATGATTTCCTGAAGGCAAAGTTTCAGAAAGAGCAGGAGTTTTTAAAGAGACATAGTCCCAATTTCAAGGCATGAAATCAGGAAGTAAAATATCTTTTAAGTCATATTTGATATATGAAGCATTTTTATAGCAACTAAAGTGACATAGATGCTTGATTATGCTATAAAATGGCCCTATGTACCTGGAAAACATAAAATTTCTCCTTTAATACAGAAATATGGGCTTTATAGGAAAAAAAAAGTATGTTTAATATACTTGCTTAAAGGTTGCCATTTTCAAAAGTTACTTTTAATATGACAAAAGAGCCTCATAGCAACACATATTGTCACTTTCCTAAAATAATGGCCTAGGCCATTTTTTGCCAAAAGTGATTTTTTTTATTTTATTTTATTTCATTTTATTTATTTATTTTGCCTAAAACAGCTTTTGGAAGAAAAGAGAAAGTTTTTTTTTTTTTTTGTCAAAACCACTTTTGGCAAAAAATACTTAGAGCCATTATTTTAGAAAGGTGACTATATGTTAATATAACATATAGTCAATATGACTGAACAGCCTTGAGCACATTGCACCTCCAGATGTCTGTAAAATACAGAATCTGCACGAAAAGGAGGGATGGAAAATATTTTGTTCCACTCATTTTCCAAATTTAAATGCAATTCCATAACTTCCAGACTTTCCACAAAGATGTACCAATGCAGTGTTTTTGTTTTGTTTTGTTATGCATTAATGGATTCAGAAATGCATTCTTCTTATAATTCAGGAGTCAGCGGATCCAGAAGAAGCAGCCCATCTGGTACCTGTTTGCTTGTTTGCAGCGCTCCAGCTCAGTCTTCGCCGTCCTCACATCAGCAGTCAGGCTGACTTTGTCCTGAGCCAGACTCCTGATCTCCTCCTGCAGGCTGGACATTTTTAGAAGCAACTGCTGCTTCTCGCTCTTATTTCTCCTCTCCTGCTCCTCCAGCTGTCTGAAAGTCAGGAGCAGATTTAAGCATTAAAGGATTTGCTCTGATAAACAAATTTCAAGGGAAATGTTTACAGATTTTTCATAATATTCCAGTTGATATCTTTTTTTTTCATTTGGATACTGTCTATTTAAAGTGCTGCAGTCTACAGAAAACAAACAAACAAACAAAACAAAACTATAATCAAACACGAAACCTTGAAAGGCTCAAAGCTTTGGTAATTTTTTCATTTTCTTTGAGAGCGCTAATTTTTTCTTATTAATTTGCAGAACTCTGCTGGTTTTAATTACTCTCTTTCATGTTAAACAATTCATCCCCCTGCTGGTCTCCGTGGCAACTAAAATTGCAATGTTTTAGGTGCTTCTCTTGTTGGACTTCTTGAATCTTATCTTTTTTTTCTGCACCAAATTGTTTGTTTTGAAATATTGAAATGAACTAAACTGTACATTTATGAAAAAAAGTAATAAGGTGGAATCCAATATTGCACAATTCTCAATCAGACAAATGGAACAGAGTTGTTTTCATGCTGATTAATCATTTAAAGACGGTAATATTAATCAAAGCAAAGACTGTAGAAGCACCTTCTGAGTTTGCCTGCAATGCTGCAGTGCTCATCCCATGTGACGACATCCTTGAGGCGAGCCTGCAGCAGCTCGACCTCCTTCGTGCGTTTCTGTAAGTCCCGTCTGCTTCCTTCCAGGTCCTCCTGCAGACGCTCCTTCTCTTCCTCCAACATCATAAGCTGCTTAGACATTTTCAAGACTACAGAGAGAGGCAGAAGGGAAAGAAGTAGGCAAAAAAACAAAAGATTGTTCAGTTTGGGATTTTATTTTACAACTTTCACATTGTTGTTTTTTTTTGGCTCATGAGAAATGTGTTTCAATTTACTCTAGCCCTTCTTCACAGTACCTTCAGATTGGTGTTTGCTGTGGTTGGCCTTGGCTTTTTCATGCTGAGCTTCCAGCTGACCAATCAGAGCCTGGTTCTCCTGCAAAACCAGAAGAGCTTGCTGCTGAATCATCTGGCTGCAGAGAGATTGGAGGAAGGTTTTTATTTAATTCCTCAGTTCTTTGGAGGTAAAACTGAAAATAAATATATCCAGTGCCTTGCAAAGTTATTTTGCACATTTCATGTTACAGCCACAAACCTCAATGCAGTTTTGATAGACCAACACAAAGTAGTGAATAATTGTCAAGTAGAAGGAAAATGATAGCTCCAATAATAATAATAATAAATACATATACAATAAAAAAGATTAGATTAATAGGAATAAATGAGTATTTTTGCAAAGTAATGCACTATTAACTAAGAGTAAATAATTTCAATGTCTTTTTTGACACATCTAGTAGTAAAGAGGTTTATATTAAACGTTTTACTTCAAACTTGATTTAATAATCAATTTGACATCTGCTCTTTAGCTTTCAAATTGGCCTCATTGTTCTGAAGATCAACATGAGAAATATGAAGCCAAATTACTGTTCAGTGATGTCATGTTGATAAAATTGTTTGGAAAAACTGTCTAATTTATGCAAACATATAATGAAGGATAAGTATAAAGATGATTGTGGAGGTTTTGCAATTTATCTCCCTGTTATTCTGACTGACTAAACTAACAGCAAAAGGAAAGAAAGGCAGAAAAAAAGGCACTTCATTTTTGTTTTTGTTTATCACCGGGATAAGTTCTGATGACCCAGCACTTCTTACCAGTCCTTATGGTTGACCACATCCATCTCATCGTGGAGCTTCTCGTTTTCTTTCATCACATTGTCTACCTTAGCTCGCAACTTGGTCATCTCCTCCTGCAGCAGGCAAACACACAGAAGAAACTTTTATTTGTGTGAAACAAACCTTGAAAATCGTGTAAACCAGGAAAATAAAACAGAAACCAAATAAAAAGAGAGCCCTTATTTTCTACATTTTTCTCAGTCATTGCTCCTCCCAGTAAAGACCGGGCCAATGTGGGTTTTTCCCCCTAAACTTTCATGTGTTTTATTGTGTCTATTACTGGAGAATGTGAAGCCTTTTACACCTTTAGAGAGCTACTTGTAAACGTGGGAAGGAAAAAGAAAAAAAAAACACAGAAAGGCATATGATCTGTAATAAAAATCAGTTTTACCTCAGTGGTTTGTAGAAGAGCTTCCTTCTCATTCATGTTGTCTTCATAGGCCAGCAGCAAAGGGCATAAATACTTCATGTCAACCTAAAAAGATATGGATGATGAAAGAAAATATGCTAAATATCCCGTTTATTTATGTCACATAGGAAAAAAAAACACTTATTGTCCTCTTTGCCTCTATAACAGGAGTAAAAACTTAAACCTAGCAGAATCACAAAGAGATTTTTTTCTATACTAACCAGCCATGGAGGGGGAGAACCTGTGCTTGGTATGCCTTTGATGTTGGAGCTCTAGATGAAATTCAGCCAAAGACAAAACAAAAAGTTAGTTATCATTTCTCCTTGAAGCTGTTACTAAAATGTATTATTGGATATACAGAATAATGCAACAACAAATGATGAAATAATCTTAGATGGAACCTTTTTAACTAGAAAGGTTCACGTTGAGCTCACTAAAAGAATTCATGGTCCATATCAAAGAAGATGTTTATGCAGTAAAAACAAAAAAAAGTCAGTGGGATTTGCTAACTGTAACTGGTAATACGCTGCACAAACAATGTTTTACTTTTTGTGTCTTTCAGTTGAAACACTTAAGGAACATGTTCAGAAAGACGAGGAATACAGTACTGTGTTTCACTGGTCTAATACGACAGGCTTCCCAGCAAGCTTTTGCCAAACAATATTTTATATATTCTATTCCGCATATTATTTAACTGCAAAGCTCTGTTTTGACTAAAGTTTTGCTTTATGCTTTTGTCATAAAGTTCTTCCTCTGTCTTTATCCTATTTCTTTCTTTCTTTCTTTATTCTTTTGTAATGTAACGCTATTTTAAATCCACCCCCACCTTTATCTTTTCTTTTCACCTCCACTGTCACTAATGAGTCACTCACAAAGACATGCTGGTACAGAGGAAGCAAACAGTCAGAGATGAGCACAAGAAAACTCCTGATGTGAAAAAAAAAACTGCATGAGGTAGTCATGATTAAAAGCACAGGTCTGCTTTCATCCGCTGGTTAAATGACACAGCGGCACAGAGAGAAAGGAACGAAGAGCTGCAGACAGTTTACTGCAGGAAATCACATGGAAGAAGGGACAAGAAAACCTCCCATCACTCAGCAGGGCTGCGGATCAAAAGGAAGACGCTGAATGTCTATCTGAAAAGCTTGATTAGAAAGGCGGCACAACGAAATGATGAAATAAACACAAAATATGATTAAATCATATGAGATTGCAAAACAAATATTTCCAGAAATGTACTGAAGTGAAACGTGTCGTTTCACAGGTATGGTTATTATACAAAGAGTATGTTTGATTAGAGCTACAGTTGGGTGATTTTTACTGAACTTGTTAGTTTGATTAGCTCTTGTTCTCAGCACATTGCTCACGTTGGTTGAGTTTTTCATACCTCTTGTTTGGACAGCGGTCTGAAGCGAGCTTGGTAGCGGCTCAGCTCCACGTTCAGACGGTGGACAGTCAGTTTCAGGGCATCGTTTTCGTCCACCAGCTCCTGCGCGTGTTGTCTCAGGCTCTGTAGCTCTGCCTGGCTGCCTGCTAGCACAGCATAGCAAGGTATTCAATATTATTGGTTCTCAGAATGACACAAAGGCATAATTAGGGCCAAAGTAGCTAGGGAAAAAAACAGAGGAACAAATTTTCGCCAAAAAAACTCAGGAATTTTGACATTAATCTCAGAAATTTTTGAGAAAAAACTTAGACATCTCTGAGTTCCTTAAGTTGAAAATTTGTAAGAAAAATCCAAATCTGAGAAATGTCTTTGAAAAAAAAATTTGCAAGAAAAACATATTTTAGAAAAAAACTTTGAAATTCTATGAAAATGTTCTACTTTTCAAGTCGACCTGAAATAAGTTTTTTTTTTTAACCAGGTAATTACTTTTTTAATCTACAATGGCTCTAATAATCCATCATGATGTCTCAGTGATTCATTTATAAATCACAACGAAACAAGTGGAAGGATTCTTGGAAGACATTTTCTAAATACTGAATATATTTTCCAGGTGATTTTTCTGTTTTGGTGTGTAATGAAATCATGGTAAAACTAGAACTTCTGTGTATTGAACATTTATATTTTTTAACTTTAGAGTTCTTGTTGTTTTTTGTTTTTTTATTACTAAATGCTGCAATCATTTACTTCACTAAACTTTCACTTATTTTTGCAAACCTGCAGAGGATCTGAGGTTTGAGGAGGCGTGGCTCTGACTGATCTCGCGCTCCAGGCGATCCAGCCTCTTTTCCAGCTGCTTGTCTTCGTGTATCGTCTTGGTCTTCCTCTGTTTCTGCAGCTCACTGTATCCTCGGTTGGTTTCTGGAGTCAAGTGGACCTTCTGTTTAGGCATTTTAGCACCACCAGCCCTTTTAGTGGTTGGGATGGGTGGCAGAGCTGAAATACAATAAGGACATCTCTAAAACAAATGCAGAATTTTTCTTTTAGTATAGTAATTTACCAGTTATCTTTCTGCTGAATGAACTAAGAAATGCATAAGAAAGCAGAGTACGAAACAAGAAAAGTTTCGGTTTGCCTGACTTTGTGGTAGATTGCCCTCTAGTGGATTAAGAACGTAACACATGGTTGTTGGCTAATAATAACAACTGTAGTGCCTTGCAAAAGACTTTGCCCACATTTTGTCACAAATGTTACTGTTTTATTTTTTCTGTTGTTTTGGATTGTATGTGACAGCTCAACAAAAAACATCAGAACAATTTTAAATGCTGGCAAAATTATACACTTTAGTATGTAGCTAACAACAGTTGATCCTACTTGATGTGAAACAGCCAGTTCTTCCTATTCATTTAGACAAATGAGTGTGAAACATCTATTTCCTACTGAAAGCTCAGTTTAAGGCAGAACAACAGAGGAACAAGAAAACAATGAGAAATCTCTGCTGGAAGTTTAGTAACTGTTTGGTGGATAAAAGAAGATCAATAAATAAAAATAAGAGAGATAGAAGGTGATAGGAAACACATACATCGCACATCTTCCTTGGGGTTTTCAGAGCTCTTTCTGAGAGTTTCTCTCCTCCTTCTTGCTTCTGGAGACTGGCCACTTGATTCCTCGGTGAGGTCTGGAAGGTATGAAGAAACGAGTGTAACGGCAGGAAAAGTACACATATGTGAGAGTGTTGCATTTGAGATCATGCATGGATCACTTTAACAACGTGCACAGTAGAATATTGTAGGCCCTCATCATCTAATGCGTGGACACAGCTCAAGTAATAGCAAATATAATTTAGTTCTAATGACACCCGTTTAGTGTTGGAAAATTAGTCAAGTAAGTATAAGGAACATTTTAAATTAGTTTTGCCTCAAGACTATGAACTCCCACTGTTTTCTGTCCTTAAAAACATCAGCCTACAGTTTTGTTGCATTTTACTGTGATTTTAATGAAACTTGCATAAAGGACAAAGATGTATGCTTTAAAATATCCAAAGTTCAGACTTCAAAGAAAACCAGATATCATCAGAAGATTCCTGATTGGTGCAACTGCAGTCGTTTTCTTCATGCTTTCTCACGCTGGTGATAAATGTTTCCATCACTTCTGTGCTACAATCATTTTATTCTGGAGCAGTTCTACTGAGTCTATGTAAGCTACTATAGACTATAGACTAGAGTAAATAAAGTCAGTACCTGGAGATGGCACTCTCCCACCCGACATGTGAGCGGCCAGAGACAGAACGGCCTGGAAGAGAGACGGGTGAAACAGGAAGTCAGTCAGACAGATAGTAAGAGAGAGACAAATCTTTTTCTGTATGAACATATCAGAGCATACAGATTCTATAGCTCCACCAAAAACATATTTTGATGTTGTATAACACAGCAAATGTGTGCTTCCTTACCTCTGCTTCTAGAGGCAGATCATGAACCATTTCTGACACTCTAAGATCCTCTCGTCTGTCCAGAGTTTGATACACATGCTCGTCCGCATCACCCTGGTCACCAGCTGCATCTTGGTCATCTTCCAGCTCTCCCTCGGAGTGGTCAGGAGACGACAGGTGTGGCCGGCTAGCCAAATCCTCCGACCATCTGTCTCTGTTGAAGGTAAGGTGATTCGAAGACTGAAAATGACTGAAAACTTTCTCACTTTTTATGAACTCACTTTAATTCCAGGTGGAAAAGGCAGAATTTGGACTTTGATGCAAGTCCAGGAAGGAACTCTTTGTGGCTCACTAAATTTTATAGCCACAAAGGGATACTTTTCTGAAGACTGGACAGCAGTGCAGCTGTAGAGGAGAATTCACCTTGAGTAAAGCACACTGCTGCCGTTTGGCTCAGTTAGGAAGGATTCAGAACGATCTGTCTCAGAGATCGACCTTGGCCGAGCGGGCGGGATGACCCACGTCTGTCCCGTCAGCGAGGAAGACAGGATAGCTGCAGCCAACGCTGATCTGTGGATGTGAACACAAATGTTGTGTAGCAAAAAGGCATAAACAATAAATACTGCTTGTGAAATATGGCTCACTAAAGTTAGAAGATATCATTTTATAACTTACTGTAAAAGATAAATTAGTACCTCAGTTCAGCCCAATAAATAAGTTACAGGAACCCCATATTCTTACACTCACACTCTTGGTAAAGATCTTTTAAAAGCTCAGTTCTATATATCCTCCATTCTCTTCAGGTCATCCTGCAATGGTCTAATGGGGTTTCTGTCTGCAAGCTGATTATTGAAGTACCATACATTCAGGTTCTCAATGCCAGTAAAATATTTGTTGACATTTGCATGAAATGTGAAATTTCATGCAATTGGCCATGAAATTCATTAAGAAACTACAACTAGGCTGCAGGGTTTCCCCGTGTACCTTTTTTTTTTTTTTTTTTTTACAACTTTATAGTTGGAGTTTAGGTATTGTTAATAACCTCTTCCAACAACAACACATAATTACATAGTGATATTTTCAAAATTCTTGTCAACTTCAAAAACTTTTTTTTAAACTCAAAAACACGGTAGACCGCTGGATGAATGCCTTAGTGCCCCTACCATCAGACATCATCATCTACTTTGGCTTTTTGCACACCTTTACCAGAGGGCCAACAATTGTGGAATCTCCCTTGAAGCTGAATATTGATTACAATAACATTTCAGTAATGACCGTACAAATGTAAAAGAAGAAAAGGGGGGCGGGAGGAGAGGCTTCGGGGAAAATAGTGTAAAATGTGAAAAGATGTTGAAGGTTGAAGGTGACAAAGGCAGCGTGTGAGGTACCTATGTCTCTCAGGTGAGGGGTCTGGGCTTTGTGGGGGAGGAGTACGAGGCACAGCGGCTTTAGGAGCGATGGAGGCGGCAGGGATCAAACCATGAGCTATGTGCTTCTACACAACACAACACATCAACAGGGGAGAGGTTACAGGGTCAGTCTGTCACACACGACAATAGCTCTGTTTTTGTACAGAGGTTCAAGACTTGGAAATAAAATAACAAATAATGTTATTTTATAGCAACAATGAAACTGGATGGTTGTTAGGGGAAGCTGTTATATGAGGAATGTAGATGAAATACACCAGTGGCCAACCTTTTATATTTATTTATTTGTAAAAAAAAAATAAATAAAAATAATTAATTAATTTAAAAAAATCAAAACTTACATTTACTATTTAATTTGTGTTGCTATTATTTAAAACCCCACATCATACACCGCAATTAATGTTTGAACAGCAACAACAATTTCAGGCATATGAATAAGTTTGCGTGGCGCTGTGAATACTCCCGCGACATGCTTTAGCTGTTAAGTGCGCCATAATATTGTAAATGTCAGCTCAACACAAGATACGCTAAGTAACCCTAATTACATTATGCTAAAGCTAACACTACATGGTATATTAACCGAGTTAAACATTGGAAAGTGTTAATAAAAAAGAACTTACAAACTCCTTGTCTTTCTCTCGTCTGAAGTTGAATTTCATCATTATGAAAATGATTCACCTTTAGCTCTCTAACTTGACAAACAAAAAGCTTTTCTTTTACGCAAAGACTTTTCAAACTAATCGCCAAACTGCCTTGAAAACACCCAGCCGCTATCCTGTTCTTGTAATATGATTGACATTAGTTCACTGTTCTTAGAAAACAGTCTACGACAACCAAGTTAACTAAATTAAAAGGAGATACTGATTTACCAGCCGCCGTATCTAGACGCTTAGCCATGGGAAACCACGTCTTTGCAAAAGAAGCGGTGATTGGTTTCCCTGCTCAAATTCAGCCAATCAGACACCGTTTTAAATTTCCTAGCAACGGTGTTTCCAACAACCAACAGACCTTCCACCAGGGGGCGTGTGTGTCCCATTAAATAAAAACAAAGCATGAGATCGGTTGGAGCCTAGACAGTGCAAGAAAGAAAGAAAGAAAGAAAGAAAGAAAGAAAGAAAGAAAGAAAGAAAGAAAGAAAGAAAGAAAGAAAGAAAGAAAGAAAGAAAGAAAGAAACAAAGAAAGAAAGAAAGAGCATTTTATACTTGATAATTTTTCATTTGTATTTTCTTATCTGGCGATAATTAACACATAATTATTTAGTTTGGAAAATCCAGTTTTTCTAAGTACCCCGTAGTCCTACAACCTACACCAAGTTGAGACCTCCAGTCTGTTTTAACATTCAGTAAAATAGCATTATATTAGTTAATATTTCAGATACAAACAGTACTGGTTCCAATGACAGATTTCTTTCCACTTCAAATCAGAAAAACATCTTTTTATAAGTGAAAGTAGTTTTTAAATTAATACTCAAGAATTATTGACTTAAACAAGCTTACATATCTTGCTGAAAAGTGACTTTTCAGCACTTATTTCAATTGTTCAAAAATATACACTAAAAACTAGACAAAAATTCCTGACAAGATTTTATGTTTTTGCAGCGTGTAACAGTCTGTTACAGTGGTTATGTGAAAGCCTCAGACTGAAAACACTTGGTTGTTGTTACAGTCTTGGATGCACATAGCTATTATTATTTGTCTTTGTTTTCTTTTTATGACGCATCCCTCTTTGCACAGTCAGCTCTAGAACAGTCCCAAGAATAGCCAATTACAACCTATACCGTGTAGTTGTTAGGAAGATATGATGAATCCAAGATGCCACTCTTTATTTCACTTACCTAACACTAATCCTTGGAATTAAGTTACCAACCTGCTGACTGTTCATGGAGGCAAATTGAATCTGGAGCCTCAACCAAACTAGTGGTTGGTGACTTAAAGGAAGTAGGTCTCTGTGTCACATCATCTTTAAACCCTAGGGAAACTTATTCAAAAGTATTTACATTTCTAGAAACTTGTCAACTCAACTTAAAAGGGCAGTATTATGTGTTTTCCAGACACATAGTGCCATTTTATTGCACAATTAAGTAACTATGTTAACTTCAGTTGGTAAAAAAATGACTTTCTAATTTAACGCCCGTCTATTTCAGAAAGTCACCACAACATTGCTCCTCTATTAACCCTTTAGCAATGTTTTTATTAGTGTTGCACTGTTATTCTGTTAAAAAATATTCATTTCTGGGCATGCTGTGGTGACACAGGGGCAAAGCACAACCCAGGTATGTAGGCCTTAGTGCTCGATGCAGCCGTCACAGACTCAAATCCCGACCTGATGACCTCTGCTGCATGTCCACTCCCTCGCTCATTACCCATTTCACCAACAACTCTCAAATAAAGGCCACTAGAGACAATAAAACCTTAAAAAGTATATACATTTCGTTTCCTCTTTGTATAAATGTAATTAAAGATGGGCTCTTGCTTAAAATTTCTGTTACATTGCACTGCTGCAATAAAAGACTTGTTTTTTACCCATTACCACTAAATGCTGGCATCACTTTATTCTGTATGCAACTGATTTACATACTAATTAGACTATTTTTAAGCTTCAATTTAAATTTTGATTAATTTTTTATATTAACGTGAAATGTTCAACAAGAAACAAACTTTCACTTGACAAAAAATCCCATTTAAGATTAGAGCACACATTACACCCAGCAATCAATTGTTAAGGCCATAAAAAGTTCAAATGAGTAAAATGTAATCACATGTTTCCTTCAGTCTGTGGAATGATGGATTAGGATGTCATGTGGTACTAGCCTGACTTAAAAAAAAAAAAAAAAAAAAACTGGCGAAATTTTTTAAAGAGGTGTGTGTTGACCAAACCTCATTCCAGACATTTTCCACCTGCTCCGCATTGTGGGGTCCAGATACACAAAGTCAGACAAATACTTCAGAAAATTCACCTTACCCCCTTTTGTTTATTCTGTTTTATTTGAGTGAACACACATGACAAAGACCTAACAATGCAGCACAAAGTGCAGAACATGGAGAGACCAGAAAGCATTAAAAGAAAAGGAGACCGAACCCTCTGCATACACACTAAGGCACTCAGTATCACCAGGCACTGCGGCGTTAACACACACAAAAAAGCCAACATCTATACGAATTACTTCATTTAACATACATGGCACCTTAAAACAGTGTTAGGTAAACACAGACAGTACCGAATATTACATAGGTTTATGAAAACATTTTCAAATATACATTAGAAAAGCAAAAAAAAAAAAAAAAAGGTAGAAGTAGACAATTTTTCCAAGGCTAATAAAATACATTCTTCCAAAAGAGAAATCCACCAAGTAACAATTTAGAACTTGAACTAAACTTAAAAGGTAAATATATATTTATTTTTGTGGTTTTGAACAACATAAATAATTTGATTATCAAACGAATATGAGAATCTACTTTGTAGATAAAGAGATACAGTCCAACACTGCGGAGTGTCAGTAAAAAATATGTGAGTTGTTAGCGTTAATGTTAAGGTGTGTGGCCGCGGGCTTTGATCCGAGCCACTCTTGTTTGTCAGAGTATGCGTCGCGAACATCAGTGTAACCACATCCTTCCCTTCTATTAACATAGACTCCACTACATACAGATTCACATTAACGAAGACTCACGGCTACAGCTTCCTACGAAAATATAAGATCAGTAAATGATTCGTCGCAGGCGAGGAGGCATGTGGGGAGATAAAATACAAAGGTCTCTTTATTTACACTGCGTCCCAAACATGGCACGATGCTCAAACACCATCTTTAAAGGCTGTCTCTCAAAATACCAAAAAAAAAAAAAGAAGACAGTAACACAAAACTAAAGGTATGATTTAGCAGCTTATCGGATATTGCATTCTAAAAATATAAAATAAAAAAAATCTCCCTAGGCTTAAGAAAAAGTTCACAGCACTTTTAGTTTTCCCTCACTGATCAGCTGTGTGATGTTTTTTTTAGTAACAATGTCCTTCATGTATGCAAGAATGCTGTGGACTTCTTAGACCACATTCTAATCACTGCCTTGCAAAAGCAGTAGATGCTGGCATGGGTGCGCTCACAAATTTTAGAGTTTTTGTTTGTGTGTGTGTGTGTGTCTTAAGATGAATGGTAACTGGAGTCGCACTGTGCTGTACATGCGCTGGCACGGAATAAAATGGTTTCTATTATTGCTGACGCTCTTAAGATGGGCAGCCTGTGTGTTGGTTTTTGGCACGCTTGTTGTTTTTGTGCTGAAAACACCAAAGTGAGTGACAACTACTCCATGCGAAAGTGCACCCGGCGCGGGTACAGCGGAGCACGTCCGGCCACTGACTCAGTGGAGGAAGTTGTCGTTGTTGTAAGCGCTGGAAGTGGGGAACGTGGGGATGGGTTTGTTCCAGGAGAGCGCCCCCGAATGGTCGTCCGTGGGCAGGCTCAAGGTGCTGGCGCTCTTCATCTTGTTCTTCAGGCCCCAGCTGAGGAACGACGACTTCTTGATGACCTTGCGGGTCTTGGAGGACTTGTCTTCATCGTTGTGGGCCAGGCAAATCATGGAGTAGGTCTTGGGCAGGTTTCCGCTGAAGGTGGCGCTCTTGGTAGGCTATGTGGACACGGGAAGTGTTTCTTATTAGCTACATGTTGCTTTTGTCAACAGTCTGAAATATGCGAGTGTGCTGCGGTAATGGTATCTTCAACCAAGCATCATTTCCTTCAAAAAAAGATGCATTCACTTTTTGTGTTTTCACATGAACATTTTAAGAGCATCAATACATTTTCAACACAGTGGAAATATTTAATTCTGACATATGTCTCACAAGAGCCTCCTTAATTCTTATTTTTATTTTTATTTTTTCCAGGAATTCGTCAGACATACCATGGGAGGGCTGTTGTCGATCACGCTGACCACCTGGATTTCAATCCCCTCCTCATCCACGTCTTTCAGAAGTCGCATCATGTCACTCACACCCATCCATTTGGTGTCTTTGTCACCCACGGCAACGATGTAGTCACCCTCTTTCAGTCCATCAGTCTTAAAAAGACATGAACGAGGCAAGAGTCAAACACTTGATTTTAAAGACGACGACATATTCACAGAGAATGTCTTAAAGGTCTATCATCTTGTTTCCTCCCCTAAGGCAGCTAAAGTCAGCAGACAGGTAAGAGTGTGTAATTTCCTGAGTAGGTCCACACCCACAGGCAGGAGTTGAACCGTTTCTGTCCAATTGCTTGATTTACATTCACAAAAGCTGGTTGATAACTCTGCAAAATCAGCTGCCTAAATAAAAAAAAAGCCTTCTGAATGCTTTATTAAAGAGTTGCCAAGAGCTTGGCTTGGTAAAGCTTATGCCATACAACTAATCTTAGGCACGTGCAGAGGAAGGGGCTGGGGGTGCTTGAGTACCTGCCCCTTTTGCTCCTTCCCCCCAAAGTGCCCTTTTGGTCTTTTTTTTTTTTTTTTTTGGTATTATTTTCTAAGCCCTCTTCTGACACATAATAACATACTAAAATTATTTGTTGTTTACATTTTTAATAGTGTAATTCTGTAAAGACAAAATATGTCTGGTGGTTTAGCTCTGGTTTACATGTCCTGCTAAATTGCGGGTTTGAATATTGCAATACTTTCCTATAAAAAAATAGACCTGCAGAAAGAAATTACTAATAAAATATCTTACATATGCATAGTTGTATGCTCTATATAGAGATTTTCCTTAGCTTTGATTGTATATCTCACAATTTTGTAAATGATCATTGTTTATTAAACTCTGAAAGCTGAGAGGCTTTGTTAATATTCTGTCCTAGAATGCGGTGAGATGTGCCCTTTTTTTTGAGCACCTGCCCCTTTAGTGGTCTC